TGCTGTGTGATATTAGTCGATGAAGAAGCCCACTAGTGAATTGAATATGTTTCGAAAGTTTCATGACAACTTCGGGAATTACACATACGAAGGGACACAACTGACCATTTAGCCACCATTGAGCAGATGGAGGATAATCAAGAGCAGAGTTAATATATGCATCATAAACCTCAACTCATGACAAGCCGAAATAGTATTCATGATGAATTAAATTTCTTCAGAGGTTATAAAATGGCTCAGAGCAAAATATGCTAGAATTTGATTATACGTGTGAAAAATGCATGTATTGTTTGGTATTAATTTTTATCCGTTCACTCCTTGCTTTTTTTTCCATTACTCTAATAGTGCGAGATAGATGTTGCTTCTGTCCACTCAATAATGTGGTCAAAGAAAACAAATCAAGTCTTACGGTGTAGTTCTATTCTCTTTCTCCGCCACATGATTGCTGTATCAATCATATCACCATAATCTAGGAGCAGGATATTTGATGGATCAGACCACGTCATTGGCATATTAAGGAGGCTAGTACTCCATTTATAAAGTTATTTTATCAGTGGCTCTTCTGGAACCTCTATGAGGGGTAAAGGGTTAAACTCGAAAGAAACTCGAAAACGCTATTTGCACAATCATAATGAGTAATATTTATTCAAACAGTATTTTTTAATTGGTGCACAACTTGTTTGTTGAATTTTACAATAATGACACATGATAAGGAAAGTTGTGAAATTACAAATATAAAAGAAACTCAAAACCAGTGGATGTCTAGATTTAGCATTGACTTATCTTTTGACAAAATACATTCCAATGTCTACGAACACATTAGAAGAAATTGAATTTCTATTAGCACTTCAAAAATTTACAGTGCATTGTGTTTCTAACCAATGTTCATCGAAAATCAAATCCTATTGTATAGATCTTTTGATTGCTGTTACACATCTTCCAAAAGTCTATATTGGTCATAAAATTCAACTTGCTTTAGCACTTGAAACTGTTTCTCTAAGAAATGAAACAAGGTTGATATTAAATGATTATATGAATATTATTTCTCATTTAATTTATCTTGCTCGATCAAATTTAAACTCAGAAGAAGAGAAAAAATGTGCAAAATGGACAGGAATTGATTTAGTGTCATTATTAAATCAATGTGAAAATCGTTTTAAAAAACAATCTTATTCATCAACAGTTTGGATTGAAATTTTGAATGAAACAAGCATGGTAAGTTACAATATGAATAATTTTGAAAATATTTCATTTGATTTTGTTCAACATGATACAGATATTGAACAATTATTTCAATGAATTGATGAAAATAAAATCAAAATACCTGGTCGATTTAATTGAACATATGGAGGAATACCTTTATTTTGGTGTACATCATCTTCTTCACAGTTACATTCAAAATATGGATCCATTCGATTAATATTTCAGTTTTCTATTGTTTATTCATCTACTCAACATCATCTTTTTGACTTGTGCAAAAGAAAACATGGTTCAGATAGATGGCATAATATTTTAATTATAACAAGAGAACAAATTGCTGGATATGGAACTGATTTTATCAAACTTTCATCAATACCATCAATGCCTTTAGATATAGCTATTGATTTAACTGATGGACCATTGATACTGTCTGATGTTCGTATTACATTTTTTAATCATACTGATAGATGTATACCTATATTACCTGAGAAATTAACACCACAACATTCTTGTTATAATACATCTTAGTCTGCTATGGAGAATTTTCTTCGTCATCTTCGTAAGAGTGGATATTCTACATTAGATGAATTAAAACATCTTTTTGATTTACAGATCTTTGAAAAATTAAAACAAATCAACAATATTTTATTTAATGAAGAAATCATTGCGTGAAAATATCAAAGACAATTTTAGATTAGTTTATTATTTAATATTATTTTAGTTTTATATCTCTACAATCTTTAGAATGATAATTATATATGACTATTTTATTATCTCTATAATTTCTTGCCAAACTAAGGTCTTTTTTATACATCTACGTGATCAGACGTTACAAAATTTTATTTTTTTAACATTATGATATCTATCTGTAGTCAATGAAAAAAGTAAAATCTTCGAAGCTTTTATTATGAGCAGAGATAATTTTGATACTCTGCTAAGAAAAATTTCTTAAGTTTTTCAGAAAATATCGAATAATGGTCCTTTGTGGAACTCACATATATTGTTGAAAAAAATAGTCAATGTAAGTTTTAAGTGTCAGGTTCGTCGATCCTCCTTTCTCCACTCTCTCCATTACAGATCTGAACAATCTGGAATAACAGACTCAGATTTTCTAGAGTTTTTTGCAGAATTGATTATGTCATGTGCCTGGCTGTGGGTCTTGATGTGAATGGAATTCTTTTTTTCATCAACACTCATACCTTCTATGATCGGAGAATAAGACCTGTTCTATTTGTGAGATATATGGAAAGTGAGTAAAAACATCAATCGACCCTCATTATCTGTTAAGAGTAGATGTTTGGTGTCTGTGGGTAGGTGAAGGTGTGACATGAACAAGTACACTCAAAGTCATTGTGACACTGATATCCGGTACCTTCTATAGTTTAGGTCGTGATGTATCGGATCGCATTGTTGTCCAACAAGGAGCATCTGTATCTATCCAACAGAACCAAATAGTCGTATTCGACCGGTTCGATTCTGAGGGAAGAAATTAGATTCCAATGCAATATGAAAGATGAAACACTGTACATTGGTACACAATGGAAGTACAGTCTCAATTCTTTTCCTCTTCTAGTTTGGTTTTCTTTCCTTCTTAGTTTTTCTCTACGCGTGTGCGCTATTTGATCAGTTGCAAATCTACTGCCATGGGTAAAACGTCGTCGAAGCCTCCTAGTATATCGATCGATGTTTTGGGAAACAATAATTATGTTTTGTTGGTCAATGGTGTACAATTGAATTTTACAACTGCTTTCCATGATATAGTGAACTATATCAATACAAGAAATCACACAATAATAGTTGATATTTATTTGATTTATGTCATCACTACAACATTGTTAACTGTCGTTGTCATTTCTCTCGCCTTGTATTTATGCGCGATGTATCATAAGAAACAAAATTGTATCGTTATCAAGAATATTAAACATGCTATTCAACAAGTGAACAGAAATATTCAAAAACTAATATGCGAAATTGATCATTCATCGATACGCTCTTTTCGCCAACAAACGAATAAACGATTACCATATATTGATACCGGCCATAGTCAATTAATGACCGCAACAGACATTGACTCTTTATTGGTTTCTTCCGTTTGATATTAATCCGGTTTGCATGAGTCATATTATGTTATCTGTTTTTTTTTTGTTTTATTCGAGAATAAACGTCGTTGCAGTGGTGTATCTAATTCATGGTATTTTTCCTTGCGTTCTCCTCCTTATCATATAGTCGACACATGAAAGAAGGAAAGAGAAGAATATCAAAGATACGTCATCGCTTTCTTGTCTATCAAAAAACACATTATCAACAATAAATGGAACACATCTCTCTTCCTATCAAGAACAAACGACAACGAGTTCGATAACAAAGTAGAACAACCTTGACACCATGACTCAAGAATGTTTACAATCTAGAAAGCCTTAATTACTTGGAGAATCCAGTTTTGTCTTATAATTTTGACCATTTTTTTCCACTTATGAGAGGTTCTGCTGTCTTACTCAAATCATTGTGTTGTTTGGCTAGTAACGAAGAATATACACTCTCACATATCAAGATTGATACACACAAAAATGAAAATATTGCGCACATCGCATGATCGATACAATCGATTACGTCGTCAACTGATCGATCTAAATATCGCATCAAACAAAAGAGTTCTACTTTCGTCCGTGAACGTGAAAGGAAACAATAATAATATGTTGCACTGGATCAATGGATCAAATGAAGATTTGAATTCAGACGGACTGAAAACAGTCAATACTATTTTTCGAGATGGTAGTGATCTACTTGGCGCCCCATCTAGATGGATCAAGGATATGCAACAAAATTGGCTCGCTTACATTCTAGTCACTGCAATTATTCTTATCTGCATTTTGTTCTTATACTGCATCATACGGTATCATTGCTCACATCGACAAAAAGGCCGTTTGAACATATCGTCCTTGAACAATTTGGCAACGATTATGGCATCGATCAACCCAACATCGTCTCCGTCACGTCCTGCCATACTAACAAACGAAGACTAGAGTATATTAATATACTCGAATGCAATCGGTTTCTATGTGAATTCTGATATAGTTATAATGCAGACACTCATGTAAACCTGACTAATTTTATCTACTCAAGAACATCTTTATTGTAATTATTCAGACGAGAACAAAGAAATAAAGAGTAATTTAACACTAATTAGAGTGGAAAAATGACGCTTGAGTCTAAAATAGTTACTTCTGAGATCAAATGTATCAATACATTATTCAACATAGAGTATTCATATTAAAACAAAGTGGTTGGCCGTCCAAATGTCGAAAGGAAAAATGTCGAAAGGAAAAATGTCGAAAAGACGAAGGGGAAAAATGTCGAAAGGGAAAAATATCGAAAGGAAAAATGTCGAAGAAAAGAATATTAAGATGAAAAATATTCGATAAATGTTTTAGAGAATTCTGATTAGTGAAGGACATATTTTATTATATGTTATAATGTTAACATTCTAGAAGAGANAAATAAAGAATTATTACTGACATGTGTTCTTTGTGACAACGTATTGCATATACATAATCGAGATAATGATTGAAGTTGTTCATCGGTAGCTCTCATCTTTTCTAATAATCGATCATATCGTTGGATCTTTTCATCATGTTCTTTCTTATGTTCATATATTGTATCAGGTAAATGAGACTTTAAAATAGTTTCATTTTCTCGTTTACAATCACGTTGTTGTGATAATGGATTAATAGATGTGAGAGAACATTCAATAGCAGAAGGAGTATTATATGAATCAGTTGATAAAGAAGAAGAAGAAGAAGAAGAAGAAGAAGAAGAAGGAAATTGAGATGATCGAGAAATTCGTTGACGAACAGAAGTAGATATTATTGAAGGAATATTTCGTTGGCAAGATTTAATTAATGAAAGAAAAGGACGTGTCGATAATGAAGGAGAATTAGCTTTGATCGAAGATTTTTTCTTTCTAAATGAAAAACAAATAAAAGTACTAATGAAAATAGATATTTGCCTTTTATTTGTTGTTATAATATTATAATCTCTTCCTTGATCAGTATATTCTCTTAGAGGTGACTCTGAAATATGTTGTTTTCTATTTAATTGTCTTTTTGATGGTCGAATATATTCATTTGAAAAATAATGTGAATGATCAGTTTTGTCTGATTGTTGTGCAAGACGATTTGGTGAAAGTGATATTGATTTTTGTTTCATCATATTCGTTGAAGTATTAGTTTGTTCTCTATAGGGTTTCATATAATATTGAACTCGAAATGGACGACAACTATTTGATGCTATGTCATACGAACAATTTGGATCAAATATATTAATTGTTTGATCGAAAAGAGAACGAGAATGAGAACGAGAATGAATTGAATGTAATGAAGAATATTGTTTAGCTGTTTGTTCAGCAAGATATCGAACTTGATTAAAATCAAGACGTGTAGATGTTGTCGGCTTATTTTTTGAAGATGATAGAGAAGAATAACGAGATATTGATAATTGATCTATTTTCGGTACTGATATTTCTTTGTTTATTTGAGATTTTTTTAAAATAGATTTTATAGATGAAGAAGATTTTAATTGATCATGAATAACATGTTTACCATCAATAATATTATGAGTTGTTTCTTTTTCTTTCTAAAAAAACCAAAGTATAAAGAAAAAACAAAAAAACTTTATTTCTATTGAAATGACTTACAATAAATTCAGAAGAATTTTCATTTTCAAAACTATCGGATTCACTTGATGTTCGTTGTTTTATAAATTCATTTTTGTCATGTTTCTTTGAAATGACTTGTGATTTATTTTCATAAAAATTTTTAGCAACTTCATCTTCGATTGTAATAACATTAAAACAAGGTTCAATTTTAAGAAGCGTTGTTTGTGTTATTGGTAAAAGTTGATCTTTATCAAATGAATAGGTAAATTTAACAAGTAGTTGACGTTCATCTGGAGTCAAGTTTTGTATGTTTTGAGAATAAGTTGTATCAATATTGGAACTATTCATTGTAAATGTTGTTATCTAATTTGTAAAATTTATTAGAAAAAATATTATTTTTTTTTTCTCTTATATGATTACCTCAATATATTTTTATTCAAACAAATTTTCAGTATAGTGAAAATCAAAATAGCATAGATCGTTTTCATTGTCATGCATTACATGTCATACTGTAGATATAAAAGAAAACATCGAACGAAAATTATGCGACGAGTACCGTTAACAGCTGCTGCATTTCTCTCCGTTTTTTTTTTTCGATTAATCGCTTGTGGACATTTTCCAATAAGTTTTTTTACATTATGTTCTATTCAAGACTTGATTAGAAACGTTTGATGTCACATCTGTTGTTATATCATTTCGATCAAATCTGTGCACTTTTCTCAATATATCCATGTTGATTCACAATAACATTTTTATGAAAATAAAAAAAAAAACAACTTAACATCATCAAATATAGATCAAGTACATAACAATGTTATAATAAGGATATAACGATTTTATAATTATGATTGTCATTTAAAAAGTATACTAGAATATTTATTCAAGGACAAACAAAATAAAAATAATAAATTAAATTCATAAAATAAAACAATTTTGTTAGACATATACATACTGAATATTGCTTATTTTACTCTATTGTCAACATATTTATTTTACAAATAGTTTGAAATGGTATTTTATGCAATGGAAAGTATCATTCAATTTATTAGGTTTTTTTTGTTTTTTGTTAAACATTAATAAAAATTCATTGACGATAATGAATCACTCGGCTATACTTTTTTCCGGTTTTAGATTCCTGTATGATTAACTTATATGAGACAAGACGAGACGAGACGAGACGAAACGAGCATCTCTTATCTTCTCCTAGCGAATTAATTTATATTGGTAATGAAAAATGTCATCATTTATATAGTGAAAGCAAGTAATAGATGTTTGACTTGAATTGTTTCATATAAGATTTTTTCTTCTTCACGTTATCTTTGTGAGTGTCAAAAAATGATTGTAGATCTGTTTAAATGCTATTGATAGTTAAAATAAGTATTCAGTCTCTTATCGAATGTTTTTCATTTGTATTGATTTACACAGCTGCAAGAAAAAAAAGTATATTTTGGCTTTTATTCAATGACAACTTGCTCACTTTTCTATTCTATCGGTAGATAATTGACACTTTGCTCTATGAGAGCTCTTAATACAAATCCGAATAGTTGACATATTAGTTTTAACAAAAAAAAAATTTAATTTTTTCTCATCTATTATATTTAATGATCTATATGAAAGAATGATTGTTTAACTTTTCCGTATTGTTGTATGTCATTGACAGATCAAATAGGATGTGTTAGAAAATGTTTGTAACATTATTTACTTTCCATATATGTTTATATAGACAAAATAATCAATCTTAATATTTTGTTTGAAATATATGTCGTCGAGTTGTCTATAAAATTTTATTAATCTTTATTTAAAAGAATAAAACTGAATTTTTAAAATAGATGACATAGAATAATTGTATAAAATCTATCTTCTTCCCATTAATTTTTTTCATGTTTTCTTTTCGATGTTTTTTTCAAGTTTAACGATACACTGTGAAAGCTGTAATTATGGTATTTCGATAATTTATAAAATCATCTTTCAAAATTATATGTAAGATCTTTAGATTCTTATTTCAGCTGAATCATGAAGTACGACATGTTATTTTGGATTTAATTAGAAAAACAAATTTGGTTTGGATGAATACTTAAAAAATGAACTCGTTTCCGTAATGGATAAGATTTTCAAAGATTAATTTTTTGACAATAAGTTAACAATAGAGAAAATGTCGTCATTCTCAAAAACGTAGCTTTGGTGATAATATTGTCGAACAGAAATAATAAGTAACAGAGAACTCTAAATATATACCTAATTGACAGACTTTCAAAGACTATTTTATATTGAGTTCGGTTTAAAAACCTAAATATTCGTTTGTATGAGAAAAATAAACTAATAAAAACAATACATCAGAAAAATTTTCAGTTCTTATTAATGACAATAGATAGTTAATAAAAAATATTCAATTTCTTTTATTTTAAATTAAGATTCATAGAAGTTTGTAGAGAATTGGACAATACATATTTTAAAATAAAAGTCAACATTTTATGTCTTATCTATCCATAGATCTATGCAAAATAAATAATGCTGCAAACATTTTTTTGAGATTTGGTAAATTTAACATTGATGTATGAAAAACGTAAATTAGTTTAACTAGAATATTTCTTAATATTTGAAGTATCGTGATTTAGATTTCTTATTTTTTGTTTGTTTTTCGAGAACAAAGAATAAAACAAGAAATATCATTTCATCATATGAGAAACTTTTATTTTCAGTTCTTATTACAGAAATCTAGCTGGTTAAAACAATTTATAACTGTTTAAATATTGCTCTTGATTGTATACATATATCTACATATTATGGAATCAACACGTTGAAATCACGCACAATTTGAACGTCACATAATCATCCAATCCAACATTTTGTTTCTTCCCATGTGTTTAAATATTAAATATTCTATATAAATTGATCAAATGATATTGCAACGATTTTAAATGAATAAAATCAATTGTTTATTTACTTAATATTGTTCGAAATAATATAGTAGATGTCAGATATATCCGCGAGACGATATTATTTAATGTATGATTGACTAAATTCATTTCTCCATTGAGTTTCTTTTCTGTTCTGTATTATCGCGTGGATATCAATCACTTTTTCTTCGACTGATTATCAGAATGTCGAGTCCCGTTTCAAATCTAGATAATTCTTCAACATCATGTTCAACTTTAAACACAAATACTAATTTAACAAATGACTCGACATCTTCACCAACTAGTTATGTTAGTCTATTAGATTCATGTGAAACTCCTGGTTAGATATATATTATTTATTAATTTAACACAAAATTGAAATATATTTGATTAGATGGCCCTGTTTTATCTTTGCCTCAACGTGCAACACTTAATTTGAGTCGAACATTAAATACATTACGTCAATGGAGTTCAAGAACATTAAAATATACTCGACAATTATTTCAAGAACGAATAGGACATGTTCTTCCTACACAAGATATTGAACTTGAACAAAATATTCAAGTTTGATTTTTGGTTTTTTATTAATAATAATTTAAAAAAAATGATTTTGAAATAAAAAAAAAAAATATTTTAGCTTCTTCGTGAAACGAAACGTCATTATGAGAATGTATTAAATGAAGCTCGTCAAATGAGCTTTTATTTTAGTGGCCTTCTTCAAACACAACGTTCTCTTGGTTAATTTTAATTTATTGATTTTAATAAAAGAAAAAAAAAAAAGAAAAGTATATTTTAGGTGAATCTTTCAGTGAATTACAACGAATATCTGGATCATCAGATGATCTTGTTGATCAACTTGTACGAAATAGTCAATGTCAAAAAACATTAGCACTTAATGGTGATTCACTTTTACGTAAACGAATATTTTATTTTTATTTTATTTCAAAATAAAAACAAAAAAACAAGTTCTAATTTAGATTCAATAAATACATTTATTGATAAATTGCAAACATTAACAAATAAAACAATTGAAGATACATTAATTACAATAAAAACATATGAAAATGCAAGGTTTGTTGTTTTGATTTTTTGTTTTGTTTTGTTTTGTTAATATAATAAATAAAATAAAATAAATATAGAATTGAATATGATGCATATCGATATGATTATGAATTATTATTAGCTCGAAATAAATCAGAAGAACAAACATCTTCTACAGATGAATATATTCAACATCAATATCAACATTTTAAACAACGTTATGAAAAATCAAAAGATGATGTTAATATTAAATTAAAATTACTTGATCAAAATCGAGTTTGAATTTTTTATTAAATTTTATTTTATTTAAATTATTTTCGTTTTATTAGATTCAACTTATGAAACAACAATTGATATCATTTCATAATGCAATTGGAGCTTATTTTTCAATAAATCGACAACAACTTAATCTATAAATATTTTATTCAATCATTTCATTTTCATTTGATATTTATGCAACGTTATGCTATTATTAATTTGTCTTTCTTCACTATTTTATGTTTTTTCTAACATTTCGGAGTGAACAGTTTTCTTTTTTGTATGTTATTAATGACAAATTTCGAATTTTATTTGACAATTACGAAAAAATTATTTTTTTTTTATTTCATAAATATATAAGTGAAAAATGTTCTAAACGTATTTACTAAATTGTTAATAAAACGAGATTTAATAACATGTGGATTATTTACAAAAGATTATTAATATTAATTCATAATTGAAATTTCTCTTCAGTTTGAAGTTCTGTCATACCAAATATTTATCTATCAATTCTATTTTATATCTCATTATTGTTGATATTCGAGATCATTTAGAATTAAAAGAATTTTCTTTTTATTAAGATCTTTTTAAAATAAATTTAAGAACAAAATTGAATAATCATCTTTTCGTATCTTTAACTCTGTTTTAACCAGAGGTTAAATACTTTATATTATAATAAGAAATAAATACAACGGTTTAAATAAATCTAATAGATACGAATAAATAACTTTACATTCTATAAAATAGATTTGTTTTGTACTACTTTCATCAAGTATATGTGAAAAAGAAAAAAAAGAAAAATTTTACTAATACTTTTTTGTTTTTAGTTTAAATTGATCTTACTAAAATGGTAACATTCATTTATAATTAATCAACTCGAAACTATAAAGATCATAATATTAGTTAATCTCAATAGTTTATATACATGTAATTTTGCAGATTGAAAATTGATGTTCTTCCATCAACATAAACAACTTTAATGTCAATGTTTTTATTCATTTAGTAATGTTACATGTTCCGATAATTACTGATAATATTATAACTCATACGAACATGAGAGATACTTACGATCAGGATCAACCAGATAAGCTTAGTTATGAACTTAAATAGGATTTTATTTCTGAACAAAGTTAATGTCCTTACAGCAGCATATTCATTTTCACCGTTAAAGTACTAATACCACTTTTCTTCTATACTTAATCAAACTTGAAACATTATTAAATATGTGAACATATACGATTTCCTATGACATCGCATACGTGGAAACGCGTCACAGAGTAAACTATGTTCGCATTTACATTCATCATGTTTTGTGCATGTACACACTTAATATCATCACTGCATGAGAAAACATAAGAATGTTTTTGTAGAGTACTCGCACGTCTACATACAAGACTATTTTATAATAGACAAAAAACGAAGTGCATACTGTAAATCTACATGAGCATGGAAGAGTTTTCTTTTTTAGAAATAAAATTTGAGCATCCATACTTTGTTTTATAAAACGAACATCGTCATCGATCAACTATCTATTTATATTAGAAGCACAATCAAAATTGACGAATATAATCTTCATCTGATAACTATTGCTGAATTCAAAATATTGAACAAGATTTTTAAGTCAATTTAGTGAAGATATACGAGACAGATTTCACTTTATTGAAAAACAATGATGTTCTTGCATGAAGCAACATCTATATGACAAAATGGCTAATATTTTCATGTCGATACAGAATCGCTTTGGTAATAGTTTTTGAAAAATACGACTTTTTTACATTGACATCAACAATTTAGCAAAATACTAATCATCTTACAGGTATTCGCCAATAACACTTTGACATCTACATGTCAATAATATATGTTGTATAAACACGCAAGATTGTTAAATGTAACTATTTGCAAGAATAAGAATCATGCATAATCTGGCATGTTTTTCTAAAAAGCATAAAAGATTGTATTACCATGTATGTGCGATTATCTGGCATTTATGGGTAACAATTAAAAATATTTGAAAGGATTTGCATCTTCGTCAATAAAATAGCATGACTTGAAAATATTCTTCAAGTAAACGCCAATTTTTGAAAACGTCTTGTAAATCAATATGTTTTCAAAGTTTTTGGGTTTGACTAGCTTTAGAGAGATAATTGATTTTTAACTGATTAGGTCCAATAATAAGATGAATTTACAAAAAAAAACAAAATGATCTTTTTTCCACAGATGATTTTCATCTTAGCATAAAAATATATGCGAAATAATTCGGTTTTCGATTCCAATGATAAAAACTTCTATATTGGTTTCTGCATTAAGAAAAGTTTTGTCAGTATAATGCTTAAAGTGATAGAATAGAATTGTTCGTATTTACAAAGTGAAAATGTCTTGTTGATTTACTGTCTATTGATGTTCTCAATCAATTCTTAGCTATAAAGATCTGAATGAATGAGAATAAGAAAAAGATGTCTCTGGTATACAAATCTCGATTAAAAAAAATGTTTTATGATTGGTTTGATATCTTCCTTGTGTTGTTTTGTATAAAACAAAATACGTGAAATTATTATTTTATTTTCTATTGTAAAACAGTTTGTCTGAGACGATAATGACCGACTCATTAGCGACAATGTTCCAACAAGAACAAGAACATTTATCACAAATACAAAATCGTCTTTTAACAGTGAGTTAATATATAATTATATTTTCTATTATATTTGTTTATAAATATATTTTTGATAAAACATAATTAGAGTCCAATAGATAGTATTCCATTAGATGTTTACAAAGAATTAATGATAACTTATTTATGTTTATCAAAAATGTAAGTTAATTAGTATTGATTTATTTTAATTAATATTTTAATTAATTTCAGTAATGAAGCAAAATTCTTATGGGAAAATCTTCCTGTTAATATGAAAACTGTATGAAAGAAAAAGAAAATAATTTAAAATAAATTCTTTATTCTAATTAAATAGGATAAAGAATTTCAATTAATAGCATCATTGGTTTCATCACTTAATTTAAAACAATATGAAGATTTTTATAAATTATGTCAAACAGCACTTGAAAATAGTTCATTATATGATATATCATCTCAAATGAATAAATATATTCAATAATTAATTTGTTTGTTTCATTTTTAAATTTATATTTTTGGTTTTTTTTTAATTAATAAATTAGTTTTATTAATTTTTGCTGCTTAAACATTAATAAGTGTTGA